CTCGAGACGCGGAACAAGAAGCAGAAGCGCAGGGAGGTGAAGCAGGCACGGGCCCAGCATACCCGGTGGGAGAAGATGACCGAAGAAGAGCGGCAGAAGGCGCGCGAGACAGAGCAGATGGTGGAGCAACTCCGTCTCAAGAATGAAGAGGAACGTCGACTGCGGCGCGCAGCCAAGGCGGCCGAGGGCAAGGGTGATGCTAATGCGGAGGATGACGAGTTTGAAGGGTTCGATTGAACTGACATCATGTATCCTGGTTTCTTCCTATCGTCATATAATTTTGATACCATGTCTACTACGTCTATAGATCCTGATGCCCAATCGATGACTCCCTTTCTCGCATTTTACCTATCTATGCAGTATTTACCCTTCGTCTATCGAAGGCAAACAACCATTCCCATGGACTACTCATGTTTTCTGCCATAACAATGAATTGATCACAAACTCATGAACTGTACATCGATTGTCTGTGTGGGTAATAAAGACGCTAGAGTGCCACTCGATACATGCAAAGCAATTCTTAATACAGACAACACCGGGAATGCTTCGCAAACCAAACCAGACAAAAACAGTGATGGTATCCCAAGACCTTTCTAAAACAACTCCTACCACAGATAGGACAAAAGCTCATAGCGCAAGCAACCTTTGACCGCGTGATCCTGACCACAATCCACGATGAATGGTATGTAACAACCTGCGTCATCGGGAGTGAACAACAGCAATACAAAACCTGTAACAACCTTCGGCGAGAACAGGCGAGCCACAATCCTGCGCAGACGGATTCAATGACCTGCATCATAAAAAGGAACTAAACAACCTTGCGCCTCAACAACATATAACCATTTTGAGCCGACCGCGATCTTGGGGCGTAGAAGACGAATCTATGGGCCGAAGCCATGATAGGGAGACCACAATCAAAACCTGAACAACATTCGACCAGATGAGCAGACCACGAGTTAAGGTGCGATGATGGATGTGGTGATCTGAGCGATAGAGAGCAAACGACAATCCAAAGCCTGAACAATTCTCGACTGGACGGGAAGACCACGATTTGGTGTAAAGACGAATGTGATGGTCCTCAGGCGCGATGAAGAGGAGCTAACGACAATCCAAAACCTGGACAACAGTCGACCGAATGTGCAGACCACGATTTGGTGTATGCAAAGACGAATATGGTGGTCTGATCGATAAAGAAGGGCACACGACAATGAAAAACCTGAGCAACTTTCAACCAGATGGGCAGGCCACAATTTGATGTGGTCTGAGCGATGAAGATATACGACAACTGAAAACCTGAACAACTTTCAACCCAATGAGCAGACCATGGCTTGGTGTAAAGAGGAGTGGTGGTCTGAGCGATGGAGGTACACGGCAATCAAAAACTTGAACAACTTTCAACCGGATAGGCGGACCATAGTATGGGATAAAGACGAATGTGATGGTCTGAGCGACCAAGGTATACGACAACTGAAAACCTGAACATCTTTGAACCCGGTGAGCAGACCATGGCTTGGTGTAAAGGCGAATGTGGTGGTCTGGACGACGAAGAGCGAATAATATGCCAAATCCTAAACAACTTTCAACCAGATAGGCAGACCAAGGCTTGGTGTAAAGGCGAATGTGGTAGTCTGAGTGATTAAGAAGAACTAACGACATCCCATAACCTGAGCAACTTTCGACTGGATTCAGTAGTATCATTTATTAAGGAAGAATTTATGCGAGTGCGGCGTGCGAAAGGCCAGTCTCCATTTCGCGCCTGAACGCTTCCAAGCCGGGCGTCCAGATATTATCGTAAGCGTGGTCGACCACTGAAGGATCCCACATTTCGTTGGCGATGCGTACTGCTTCTGCACTGAAGCCCATATCTTCATAACTCTCGGCTTCCGGCCAGGCAAGCTCGGAGAGGTCTCCAGTTGGGCAATTCTCATAGAGCCACTGGGCATCGCGAGCGAATTGGTCGTCACCGAAGTCCTCGGGGCTGGATGCACGCTCGGGACTAGCGACAGGTGCGGGGACTGTGCTGGGGGTAGCAATAGGTACGGAGACTGGGTCAGGAGTAGTAGCAAGAGTCAAAGGGCTAGAATAGCGGCTCGCAGTGCGGAGTCCACTGGGCGTCTTGGGTTTGTATTTCTCTGCCTGCGAGCGGACTCGAGCAAGAGCATCATCTTCAACCTTGGCTGGGGTAGTAGGAGGGACAAGCGCCTGCTGCGGAGTCGCGCGAGTCTCGTCGGATGATGTGCTAGGTGGAAGATTGGTTAGCAGGCCAGTGCCTTGCCTGGGCTCATGAAGATAAGATGAAGAACATACCTCTCAGTAATGTGAGGCTGCGAAGGAGCTTCAATGGGCGAAGTGGTCTGTGTATCGGGCACAGATTCAGGGGCAGAAGTACTGGGTTCCGATGGGGAGTCCGAATAGGGAGTCTCGAATGTACCGGCGCGGTTGGGAACGAAATCTGGTGTAGCCTCGTCTTCCGAAGCTTCCGAGGAGGTGTCAGAATAAGGAGTCTCGAAAGTACCATCCCGATTGGGAACAAAGCCAGGAGCTGGGGTATCTTCTTCTGAGACATCAGAAGAAGTATCAGAATAGGGGGTTTCAAAAGTACCATCACGATTGGGAACGAAGCCTGGGCGACTGCGCGGATCCGGGTAAACAGTGGACTGTTCGGCCTGTGGAACATGGGTAGGAGGCAGAGATGAAGATGAGTTACTCGATTCGCCAGACAGATCCATGCCGACGAAATGCTGTCCAGTATACGGATCGGTGGCGCGGGGCTTCATTCTAAGCTTGGATGGGGTATCCTGGGGACTCGCATCGAATCGAACTTTCTTTGAAGCTGGACGCTCGGACCGGAGAACACTGCGAATGGCGGACTTTCCTTTCACGTCTTGTTTCTTGGGTTCGGTTTGTGGGAGTGCAGGCTCCTCGTCTTCATCTTCTTCATCGTCAGAGATCACGAAGTAGTCCTCGTACATTCCATAGCTGCATCCAGGCGGGTTAGGGATCACATCAGGGGAAGGGGCCCGCTTGCGCTTCTTCTGGCTTGGAGTGGAGGTGCTAGGCTCCCCTGGGACAGGGTTACGGCCTCGAGTTATGCTTGCTTCGGCAATGGATTCACCAGAATCTTTGGGGTTCGATGTATTGGCCGAAGGCTCAGGTACTTTGGATGGAACGTCGGCAGGGGTCTGTTGGACAGACTTCGGGGTGGCTTTAGGCTTATCATCAAGGTAGCGAGACCTGTCAATAGTAGCAGGGAACAGGGAGAAGGAGAGATCACGCTGCGGCTGTTGGGTCGGTCCCTTGGTCTTGGGAGTGGGAGACACTGTTCTGTTCGAAGGAACGAACGCTCTAGGCTGTGTACGGTTGAGCGGCTCGGTTGATGGTTCTGCTGGCACTAACAAGCATAAGCGGAATAAACAATGCCAAGCCATGAAGAAGGCATACCTTGATTCTCATTTCTTTCGGGGGTTCGTCCAAAAGTGGGAATGAGACGAGAAAGTCTGCGAGGGACAGAATTCAGTAGCCCGCGGATTCTCCAGCTACTCGCAGGCCGGTCCGGAGTGGTGGGTTGCTGTGTCGGTTCCGGTTCCGATTCCGGTTCCTGTGCATCTTGTTCATGAAGTAGTTCGTTATCCTCAAAGCTTGGGAAAGGTTCAGTCATCGAGATATCTTCTCCTGGAACTGGGGTCTTCTCAGAAGCGAGACGATCAGCGTCCTCCTGGGCGAGGTACTGCGAGATGCGAAGACTGGTCCTGTAAATGCGGCCTTGCGACTCGGCGTTGCGACGGCGAAGTCTCTCCGAAAATGGGGTAATATTGGCGGTGACACGGCGAGGCAAGGGACTGGCATGAGAGAAGGGAGTACTTCCGGGAATACCAAGGTTGCGCCGCTTATTCGCAGCGGGGGTGACTGGCTCTCCGTCGTTTTTGTCATTGTCGTCTTCATTGGTTGGGCGACGACGCTTCTTGTCTGTGTTGTACATTAGCCCCGCTCTCTTGGAAGAGGATGTGCCATGCCCCAGACCCCCCGGAGCACCAACAGACCCCTGTTGAAGGGAACCTGTGGCGAGACCGTTGCTCTCACCCAACCCGAGGTGCTCGGGCACGGGTGAAAGCACGTCCACAGCCCGACGCTGATTCGTAGGACGTGGACCGGTCCCGACCGGAGGAAATGTACTACCCGCGGGGGGAAGAGGTTCGATTTCGAGTTCTGCGAATGATACAGAACATGTATCACACATCTCGATATCTCCCTCCGCTCCCCCCGGGGAGCCCACAAACGGCACCGCTGGTACCTCGTCTGATTGGAGGTCCATTGGCGCCGTCGTGGCTGGTTCCTCCGGCAGCTCACTAGGGACTGTGACTGCCTCAGAAGACCCTAAGCCGGCAGACATGGTCCGCGACCTCTCAAAGAGAGGCGGCTCCGGGCTACTTGAAACCTCCGAGGCAGCACTTGGTCCCTGGGAGGTCTGTGGTGGTTCTCTGGCCGGGGCGCTTTGTGTGTTGTTGGGAAGGGACTCACTCTCTATAGGGTTAGAGTTCTGGCCCACTTCGGTGCTGCCGTTCTCCTGTGAAGATGGTTCCGCTTGGGATGCGGTGGGTTCAGCGTTCTCGTTCTCTTCGGTCTGGTGCTGTTCGGTCTCCTCGGAATCTGATTGGCCAGTTTTGCGAGTAGTTTGGCGCGTTGTGCGCTTCTTTGTAGAGGCCTTCTTCTTGCTAGGAGCCTTTTTTGTGGTTGTGGAAGACGCTTTCTTGGCGCGCGTTGCCTTCGGGCGAGGAGCGGGCTGTTCTTCTTCGGCGGCAGACTGCTGCGAGTTGCTCCTAGTCGATCTAGTGGCGCGAGGGGCGGGCTGTTCTTCAGCGGCGGCGGACTGCTGCGAGTTGCTTCTAGTCGACCTAGTGGGGCGAGCAACATTGTGGTCATCTAGGGAGACGAAGCCACCAGGCGACATCATCTGCGAGCGAGTACGCATTTTGACTGTTCGAGAAAGTGAATGGTTATTGGTAAGTGTTCGAGTTAACGCGGCACTAACGTGAGCACCGTTGGTAAATTTGATATGCGAGAAGACCTTGCAAATCTTCCAAAATAGAGGTAGCTTGAAGCGCAGGTCGACGGTAAGAGAAGAGATGGGGGATAGCGGATTCGAAAAAGGCAAGGTTGCGGTTTTCGCGCGCACAGAGAACAGGACAATGACCCAAGTTGCAATTTAGCTTCAACGTTGAGAGCCCGTCTCGTGGCGTGGGTGTGAACCCCAAGCTGAAGCAAGCACAGCAGGGATTCGACAGGGGAGAAATATCAACACACGTGAAGAAAGATGATGGTGATTGCGAACTGATGGAGAGTACAGGTTGTCGGGGCTGGAAAACAAAGCCTGAGTCGAATAAAGCTCGAGTCTTCAGGCACAAAGAAGTGATCAGGGTGGAAGCAATAGGAAGAGAGGGTGGAGGAGACAGGAAGAGAGGATGGAGTGTAGGATGGGCACAGAGAGAGAAGGAGCGAAGGGAAAAGCGCGACGGGATTCCGACTCTGCAAACACTGCGAGGCAGGAAGTCAAGCACAGGTGAGTACAGACAAGAAAAGAGGAGGGCGATGTCTCGAAGCGCAAAAGAGCAATTGTTTGTGTGTAGATAAGAGCTTTTGCGAAGTGCGAAACAGGTGGAGAGGAGAGGGAGGATGTTGTACAGAGGATGAGAAGGGAAGAGGATAAGAGGAAGGAAAGAAAACAAAACTCACTGGGTGGGTGGGCTGTGTTATGATTCTGTTGTTATGGTGTTATGGCGCGTGTGGGCCGTGGACCCGCGGGGCAGCTGGCAACATTCACTACCGGAGCAAGCAAAGCTATAGCATCTGGTGATGGATGAGAAGATGGCAGTGAAGTGAATATTCACTCGACCGCGCGGGAAATTTGCGGCTCGAGGGAGTGACGTCCCGGCAGAATTGACAAGGCGGTGACGCCGTCGGCAACCGCAATGTCGCCGCAGATTCCCAGTCAGTCCAGATTACTCGGTAATATCGTTATGAAGACATCAGGCATGAAAGGGTCATACTATACCCTGATCTGAAAGACTTTTACATGAATCATCAAAGATGCTGGCTGCTGAGTGGTTTAGCGAAGTAAAGAAATGTGCCTAGTCAGTTACACCAGTTCGTACTACAAGTCGCAGACTCATTGTTTAAAGAGCAGAGGCAATGAGAAATCGCATTCCATGCAAGTTAATTCTAAGTCGTGGAAAACGATAGCAATATTTGTACAGTACACAGCGATGATCTTGAAATGACCAGAAATCGCTGGAGTGAGGTGGCACTAGATGAAAAACAGTTTCGCCGGCTCTCTGCCATAATCGCCAAGTTGGTGGGAGAGAGGAACGGTTTCAGAGACAAAATCATGAGGTTGATATACGCCAAAGGGATAGTTTGGGAAGAGGGTGGTCAAAAGAAATTATAGAATACAAACGCCGGCAGAGTCCCGATTACATGCTGATCTCACCCTGCCAAGCAGCGTCGGAGAGGCCGAGAGTCTGGACCAGGTTCTGCCATCTGGGACCTCCACGCTCCTTTCGTCGCAGATAGCGGAGAAGCTTCTGTCGCTTGTGCACGAGGAGGCGCAGGTTGCGTTTGTTGTGCTTGTCCTTGTTGGTCGTCTCAAGATGTCTGGACAGATTGATGATCTTGGCGGTCAAGATAGCCACCTGCACTTCTGGGGAGCCAGTATCAGCCCCGATCCGGGGAAACTTTTCGGGAGGAAAAGTTGCAGAGTCGAGAGACACGCTAGCTGGTTTGGGGGGCAATGTCTGGTCCGTGTTGTGCCGACCAAAGGTCTCGATACATTTCTGGATGTTAAGGCGCATGCGATCTTGGTTGTTTCCGTTGTCAAGTTTCAAGATACGATTCATGGCTTCCAATGCATTCTCGTGCTGCTTGTTGTGTTGCTCAGCTTGCTCCATCTCAAGCTGAGGGTCGGCGGCATCGCGGTCCGGGTTCGCGAGAGGAGAAGTCAAATCCTTCGAATGGTCGAGAGCACTCTGTAGTTCGGCCGGTTTCACGAAGAAGTTGGGGGAGGCATTCTCGGAGCGCGTCTGGGTTTCCTGCAATTCTTGGATGAAGGGGGTAGGTGCGCTTTTGACGGGGTCTCCCAAAGCTTGTTCACGTTCCTGGGCGAGAGCTTGTCGGCGAGAGAGGTTGGCTGCCTTGCGCTGGCGCGACTGAGCGGTCAAAAAAGGGTCATGTCTGCGACGTTCTCTTGCCTCTGCAGAACCGGCTCTGATTGTGGTCTTGGAAGGGGTGAGGGATAGGGCGGCGAGCGGACTCTGGATGGAGGAGGAGCCTGGTATCAACAGCACACAAGTTAGAGAGGAATTGGCGACCGACCAAGGCGGACGTGGTGAAGGAGGAGTGACGACATACCAGTGAAAGCCCTGAGGGAGGACTGAAGAAGCAAGCGAGGAGACATGGTTGGAAGCCTGAGACGGCGAGCACTGGCAATGGTCGTAGAACAAACCGGAGCTGCTTCGCATCTAAGGCCCGTCAACCAGCACAGGCGCGCTGAACTTTCTCCGAAATCTCGAAGACCGGGCAAAGGACGCTAGTCCTGGTTTGGGGAGGCAGCCTCACGTGAGATCAGGGGACGGTCCGGGGACTCCCGGTCTTGGCTAACCCTAGCCCTAGAATTCACAAACGGCAAGCGAAATTCATCACCATCTCAGCGCGGCGTGGAAAAGTTCAGCTTCGCGTTCCGTCTCTCCTCCCGTCATCACCACCGCGACAAGCGCCAGTCGATTGATATCCTCAATTCGATCTCCTTTGCAGAGTCAATCGTCCACCATGGCCCCCTCCCAGCTCCCCCCGATCTTCAACCCTACCTCCCAGGACATTGAGCAGCTCCTGGCTGCCCAATGCCACCTGGGATCCAAGAACCTCCAGTCCCACATGGAGCCTTACCTCTGGAAGACTCGCCCCGACGGTGTCAACGTTATCAACATTGGCAAGACCTGGTACGTTTACTACTAGGAGAAGGAAAATCGCAACGCGCAATTGGAGGAGACATGCGAATGCAAATGCAACACGCGATGAATCAATTGGGCCAGAAATCTGACTTGCGCGCGCACGCGCGATTGTTATAGGGAGAAGATCGTCCTGGCCGCCCGTATCATCGCTGCCATCGACAACCCGGCCGATGTCTGTGTTATCTCCGCTCGTCCCTACGGTCAGCGTGCTGTCCTGAAGTTCGCTTCCCACACCGGTGCCACCGCCATCGCCGGTCGCTTCACCCCCGGTAACTTCACCAACTACATCACCCGCTCTTTCAAGGAGCCCCGCCTCATCATCGTCACCGACCCCCGCACCGATGCTCAGGCCATCAAGGAGGCCAGCTACGTCAACATCCCCGTCATCGCCCTCTGCGACACTGACTCCCCCACCGACTTCGTTGACGTTGCCATCCCCACCAACAACAAGGGTCGCCACGCCATCGGTCTCGTCTGGTGGCTGCTCGCCCGTGAGGTCCTCCGCCTCCGTGGTACCATTGCCTCCCGCGAGGTTGACTGGGACGTCGTTGTCGACCTGTACTTCTACCGTGACCCCGAGGCTGAGGAGAACAAGGAGATCGCCGACGAGACCAAGGTTGCCTCCGCCGAGGAGGTTGGCCCCGCTGCCATCGAGTCCGGCTACGCTGGTGACAACTGGGACACCGCCGGTGCTGGTGCTGGTGCTCCTGGCACTGCTTTCTCCGCTGCTACCGCTGCTGCTGGTACCAGCTGGGAGGCTGACGGTGCCGACTGGGCTGCCAGCTCTGCCGCTCCTGCTGGCGAGAGCTGGGCTGAGACCAAGCCCGCTGAGGGCAACTGGTAAATGTTTGAACCCGGTGACGCGGACGGTCGTTGAGAAGGGATTTTGATTCACATCTTCTTTTCCATGAAGCATCTTGGGCGATTGGATGGGGAGCTTTCAGTGGACTCCCTTTGCGCAAATCGGAGCGACACTCGCGCACACCCTTCCAACCACAAAAGAGGAAAAGCAATTCCCTTGTCATGTCTATCCTAGTCTCTGTTCAGCAAGTTACCAAAAAAACCAAAAAGCAAAGGAAGAAAAATTGAGGAAAAAAACACACACAATCAACGGGAGATCCACTACTTCAAAACCACCCCTTTTCCTACTCTTTTCCTTTCTGACGTGGTATGCTACGGTGAAAACCTTTTTCCCGCCCATCCGATATTTGATGTTTCGTTTATGGTGTGCATCGGGGAGGAATTGCAACGTTAAACAGTTGACTTGGCGCTTATGAGGGAAAGATATCCAGTTGTTCTCTTGCCTCGGTGAGCTTCTGGGGGAAAGCCCTGTGCTGTCAATTTACAAGGTGGACTTAAGCGTTACCTTGGTTTCTCCCTGCATGTTTATCATAGCGTAATTGAAAAGTGATGCAAGCTACCATGTCTTTCCACCCTTCTTCGTAGCATTAGAGATCGTAGAGTAGAGAACCGTAACGCCAGTGGATGGGTTGAAGTCGATTTCGATATGCGATATCATCAATCTACAAGTAGTACGGTAAATCCGGACCTGCCTTATTAGAGCCATCTGCCATGTGCTTTACACCTCAGTCCATCGGCCTACCTCGACTTCCAAGATTACAAAACTCCAAGCATCCAAAAAAAAAAAAGCCCGACCAAAACACCCATGAATGATCAAGTGAAAAAGAAGGGTATCACAAACCAAAAAAAAAAAGCCAATCAACACACAACGCAACCCCCTTTACTCTGCCCGCCCGCAGCCGTCAAGGTCATCCCCGCCATCCGCGCGATATCCTCAAAGGTCTCCGCCATCAACTCACCCGTAGCGGCGGAACATTCCGCATACCGATCGCACCGAAGTTCCTGGGCGATGCGGTATGACTATCAATCAAATCAGCGTCCATCGTATTCTGCAAACAAGGAAAACAACAACCCATTTTCAGGACCAGACTCACCTCCTGTGGGTAGATGATTCCCTCTCCCTCGACTCGGAGATCTCGTTTCAATCCCACCACCATGATGGGGATGCGCTCCCCGTAGCCGTGTTGGAAGTACCGGATGATATCGTGTCGCCACTGGGAAACATGTGTCAGAATGGGGCAAGCCATGATGAAGGGGTCAGGAGGCCTGCGATATGAACAATGGTCCCCGGGCTTCAGGTCCACTTACCCCTCTCAACCCGTTCAGGGTCTCGCGATTGGAGATATCAAACGCCAGAAGCACCACATCCGGCCGGAGAGTCGACCAGTGCTGATTGGGACTGGCGGTATCGAAGATTTCGAGAGTGAATGACTTCTTGGAGAAGCGAATGTCATAGAGAAAGGGTTGGTCGCTATCCCGTAATGGGACGTCGTCTCCTCTTTGTCCTTGAAGTCGGCGATGGTTGGATTTCAGGCTTCTGGGGTGGCATTAGTGGACAAATACGATTTTTATAGGGCCAGGAAGGGAATAGTAAGGATAACAATGATTCACATTGCCCGAATATTGCATATGATGATTTGTCAAAGAACAGAATCTACTCACGATAGAAAGGTTGACTTGCCACAACCTGAGTCTCCCAGGAGTAAGATCGTAACCGTCGGGTTGTCTCCTTGGAGGTAGGAGTCCGCCATTCCGATTGGAACGCTACGGGTGTTTGTGATATATCGAGAGATTCTGTTGCTTGTAAAGCGCACTCAATTGTCACCGACAGCTGAACATCTCCCGGTAGTTCTACAGGGCTATTGCCTGTGATGGTTATCGAGATAGTAAAGATACGGAGTACAGTAAGTTAGTGTGCGAGATGCGATAAGATCCGGAATATGTATGTCACGCCGTCCGCCTCCAAACCAGTCGTTGCTTGATACTTCCCACGGTAACTCTTCACTGGGCAACCAACAGGAATTACTGTCTATATCCAATACAGTGATATGCGTTTATACTATGAAAGATAGCATGATAAACTCAAGAAGTATTTTCCTTTCGAATATATTCGAGCCACAGCTGAACGACCATATCTTCCAATGTCAGCGGGCGTAATAATACCAGGGTTACACGAGCAATACACTCCGTAAGTCATCTGGATCAGCGACTCCAAAATTTTGCTCGCAGACCCAAAGAAAACAATTTCCGCTGCCACCTCCGCGAGAGTCTCGAGTCCACCCAACATTCTTTTCCTCACGGGTATGCGAAGTCTCCAAGGAAGCCTTCGCACCTTCTTGACTCGTGCTCAAGAGTCCACTATATACAGATCCCGTCCAACAGCCGCCGCATCTTTCCACTGTTTCGCTCGTTCCTTCGCCCAGGTTAATTCCTCCCCGCTGCTGCAAACCATGTCGGATCAGCAGCAGCAGCAGCAGCAGCAGCAGCAGCAGCCCGCGCAGACGTCAACCCAGCCAGCGTCTGGCTCCTCCGATAAAGAACCGGACTACTCGACATGGCCTACCTCCAGTCTGATTGCTCGCATCACCGAACTTGAGCGCCAACTCCACTCCCGGACAGCGGAGTGCGCCGCATCGCCTGCCCCCACGACGCAGAGCACAACAAGCATTCCTCAGCAGCAGGACGACAACCCTACCGAGAAAAGGCCTGCCGATTTGCCCTCTTCTTCGACAGCCAAGCAGGAATTACAGCCACGGAAGCCTAAGCCCGCGAAAGTGCGCCGGGAGATCGATCCTTCGAAGTATAACACGCGCTACATCGCACTGAAGTTTGCCTACCTGGGACAGCGGTATAACGGATTGGAACACGCGAACGGCAATGCCACACCGTTGCCGACTATTGAGGAGGAACTTTATAAGGCACTGCGCAAGACACGTCTGATCTTTCCGACCGATACTTCTGGGGATGACTTTGTCGACAACTATGCGCCGCGTGAGGTCAAGCCCTACTGGATCAACTGGGACGGATGCCAGTACTCCAAGGCTGGCCGCACGGACCGCGGTGTGAGCGCTTTTGGGCAGGTCGTTAGTATCAGGGTCCGCAGCACGCGACCAATGCGCAAGACGGATGCGCAGAACCCGGACACGGCTATGGAAAACACGGAGGAGGCGTATGACGGTTGGGATCATATCAAGGATGAACATCCTTATGTGAGCATGTTGAATAAGGTCCTTCCGCAGGATATCAGGGTCCTGGCGTGGTGCCCCAACCCTCCTGAAGGGTTCGATGCTCGTTTCTCCTGCCGAGAACGACACTACAAGTACTTTTTCACCCAGCCTGCCTTCTCTCCAACCCCTGGGCCTCTCGGATTAATGCCTCGTGCCAATGACGGAACGAACGCTCGTCCGAAGTACAGAGAGGGTTGGCTGGACATTGAGGCGATGCGTGAAGCCGCCAAATACTTCGAAGGCACGCACGATTTCCGCAATTTCTGCAAGCTGGATGTTACCAAACAGATTGAAAATTTCTCCCGTGAGATTTTCCGCGCTGATATTGAATTGATTGATGCCAAAAACACCCCGCTGGGTTACGTCAACGAGCCAGAGTTTCGCGCCGTTGAGGGCGAGCAAGACACCGGATCATCCGTTGAGCCTACACCTACTGCTGCTAAGGTGTATGTCTTTCATCTAGAAGGATCCGCATTCCTATGGCATCAGGTTCGTCACATGGTCAGTGTCTTGTTCCTTGTTGGCCAGGGCCTCGAACCCCCAACCATTGTGCGCGACCTGCTAGATGCATCCAAAAACCCGCGCAAGCCCACTTATGAGATGGCATCTGACGCCCCTCTTGTCCTTTGGGATTGTATTTACCCTGACGAGCAGAGCGGTAGCCGCAAGGATGCGTTGGAGTGGGTTTATGCAGGCGATATCAGGCAGATCAAATCCCATCTCGGCAAAGGTGGCGGCAAGTTTGGTCTCGGTGGAATTGTCGAGGAGCTCTGGGCTGTTTGGAGACAGCGTAAGATTGATGAGATCCTAGCCGGCACGCTGCTCGACCTGGCTGTTAGTCAAAGAGATCAAACCATGATCGCTACCGGAGGAGCAAACCCTGTTTGGGAGCGGAAGAACAGAGGACAAAAAGTGTTCATTGGTGGCAACGATTCCAGAACAGGCGGTGATTATATTCCAGTCATGCACAAACGCAAGACGGAGCTCGTTGAGGTCCAGAATGCGCGGTGGTTGGCCACCAAACAACGAAAAACGGAGGCTGGTGCGAAGGCGTCCAAGATGGAGATGTAGATAAGATTAGTTTCTGTACTTACCCTGACATGTTGCATTCATGCGCGAAGTCTCGCGCTTGCTCCTCACAGGAGTATCTTTTCTGAAACCCATGATGTTCACATTCTCCGTTTAAATCACGCTATGACTTGGAATCATACAGACATCGTCGGGAGCCTCTCCAGACCTCTTCTAGAATTTGTCGATTCGGAAGGAGGTTCTATCCGCTGTCAGTTAGGCGATGCCAAACACACATACGCCCCCAATTCAAACTCACAGGGAAAACCACGAGGACTTCTGTCTCCCCTTCGACAATTACAGCGAGATAGAAGCGAACCTCGAATCCCTTAAAAGCCTCGTGGATCACAATATCCTGGATCTGTGTGGTAGGTATGAATCGCGTAGACGCTTTTGATAAGTACGTGTTGGAGGATGTCGAAGTCTGGATGCCCAGCCCGCGTATAACGAGGAGCGACTCTTCTGTACCGTAGCAATGGAAGTTAGCACCGCTGGATGAGTCAAACAACAGCCGCACACATCGAACGAACCTGTGTATCCTTTTCTGAAGACACCATACATCACAATTGCACTGACCAGTCCCACAGCTGGGTAGCTGTACCTATCCGCGTAGCCACAAACCGAGGCGCCCAGCGGTGTCGACCATACAGCTGCCCAGGGGATCAATCGCGCTTCTTGGATGTAGGAAGAGTGTCGGAGTTTGGCGACATCAAGTAAGAGCACGCAGAAAAAGCTCAGCACCCGCAGCACAACTTGCAGGTAGAATAGAACTTTTGCAGGCGTGCTGGTATGTCTTGAGGCATTCGAAACGGTGAACGAGACGGTCGTCGGGGACGGGCGCCGTAGGATGAGGCGGCCTGGCATGGAGGGAAAACAATGCGATTGACTAGTGCCAACAGGTCACGGTCCAGTGATTCGGGATTGAGGTGCAAAGCCCGTACGTTTATAGATGCCGAGTTTGAATTAATTTGAAGATTCTCATACTGATCACTTTTGAGAGGAGAAGCAGACCTCAGGGCTAGTAGCTAGCAGTAGTAGGTAATCTAGTCCCTGAACGGCTAAATGAGCTCTCTTCGGTTGTGTCGTACCGCATCACGTGCATCGTGTCGCACCTGCCAATGCCCGGTCTAGACCAACCACTTGTCTCACTGATTGCCCAACCTTGTGGCCTTATCAGTGAGCTGAGAAAAGCATTTTAAGGAGCTGGAGAGGGGTATGGGTCGTAAGAGGCTCATGCCAGTCAGGCGGCCTTAATAGACGCTGGGGCAGGACAGAGCACAAAAACCAGCAAGCTCCCAAGCAACTAAGGACTCCCCGGACGCATAACAAGAATGAATGGATTTGAGATAGAAATGAGATATTGATATCTTCATGATAACTCAAACTTGTACGGAGTACTTGAAACGAAACGATAAATCGAAGAGCTCTTTACTTCTCTACAGCCCATGGATTTTATTCTCTGCCAGCCTTCCGAGATGAACCATGAAGTTGAAAGCGTGTCCCGGAAACTGCCAGACAAGCTTGAAGGCATTTCTGAGAATATGTTGCAGCGCGAAAGCTCTTTCCGGAGTGGGAATGGAAGGGCAATGATGGATCTTGCTGGTCAGCGTCTCACGCGTGAGACTTGCTTATTGTAACCTTTGAGCAAGTCCCCGTTCTGTGTTTCCAATCCAAGTGTACCTGTTTGTCCACGTATTACTTTGGTGAATATTCTTCTCAGGTTACCTTTGAGCTGATGCTGACCAGATTGTCACAGGAGAACCAAGCATTACATGTGTTGTCCCGTCATATGACGTTCCCATGTGCTGCGATTCCTTCCATGTGGATGAATGATTGTGATGAGGGCCTAGCGTGATAGCTTGCAAGCGAAATGGGGTGGGCCGATTGAATTCCAGATACCTAGACTCAGGTTTAGGGGAATGCTGCTGGAGATTGAGAGTGCTTGTGCTGTGCACTCTTTATGCAGCAGTGCTGTGAGGATTTCAGCTGCGATCACTGATATCAATGATACCCGTGTGTTTGATAATAACTAGTGGCCTATGCCATTCAGGCACTAAGGCATCAGCGACCTCGGAGGTCCGCCTCCAGTCCGATTCCGGGGTCACAGGCCCGGGTGTGATGAGTCATCACTGCGGGGCCGTTGGATTCGCCCGTGCTGGCAGGGCGGGACTAGCCGGAAGAAGGAAATCTGCAGCCTGAGGCTGCCCCCCGCCTGCAGCCTGAACCGACGGCCGGGTTCCACTCGCGGCAGAGGCATTTTTTTTTTCCTCGTCTCTATGGCCGATTCTCCACGAATCTCTTCCTATTCTCTCCTCCCTCCTTCTGATCTCGATGTCTGTTTTTCCTTCTCCATCCATTCGCTTGGAACCCATCCCTGTCCCTGATTCCCCGCCATGAGGTAGTTGCTTGTCCACTTCCATCGTCGAGATCTTTTGTTCTTCTCCCTGCTGCTCCAAGCCAGCGCTCTCCTCTCTTTGGTCGTGCTAATCTCACCCTTCGTCCCGCCCCTCCAGACCCGCCGACTCATCGGATATCTCCCCTCCCCCTCCGCAAACGATTCGGTCTTCCTCGCCTGTGATCTTGCAACCCACCGGATTTCCTGACGCTGCTCAGTCGACTCCTCAGAACAATATGGTGCGCAACATTGTCGTCATTGGGGGTACCTCCCACCCTCAGCTGACCCAAAACATTTGCAACGTTCTGGGTATCCCTGCGGCAGACGTCCTGCTGTCGAAATTCTCCGTCGGTGAGACCCGTGTCGAAATTAAAGAATCCGTCCGTGGCAAGGATGTCTACATCATCCAATCCGGTGGCGGAAAGGTCAATGATCTCTTGATGGAACTGCTCATCACCATCTCGGCCTGCAAAACCGCCTCGGCAAAGAGAGTCACTGCGGTTCTACCGCTCTTCCCATACTCTCGTCAGAGTGACATCCCGTACAACAAGACGGGCGCTCCGCTGACCAAGTCTTCCCTTGCGAGCAAATCCGGCAATGGCTACACTTTTGAAAGTACCCCGCCTACCCCACACCCGGGGAAGCCCGAGAGCTGCAGTCTGCTCAACGGTGTGGACAACCTTCAGAAGAGCCTGGCCAAGGCTCAATTGGAAGATATCAGCAACGGTAGCCCGGTGAAGAGACAACGTCCAGTCAATGGTCTGCCCCGCAGTGACACCATGGACTCTCTGCCCTCTCTTCACAGTGGAAGCGTCGCAGAAGAGGAGGCCAACAAGATCAACAACTTCCAGCCCCGTCCGGGCTACAAGCAGTGGGTGGCTCAGGCAGGCACCCTGGTTGCGGATTTGCTCACTTGTGCTGGTGCCGATCACATCATCACCATGGATCTTCATGACCCTCAATACCAGGGATTTTTCGACATCCCTGTCGACAACCTTTATGGCCGACCCCTGCTGAAGAGCTATATTCAGCGCAATATCCCCAACTACAAACAGGCTGTCATTGTCAGTCCTGATGCCGGTGGCGCTAAGCGGGCCACCGCGATCGCCGATTCGATGGGCGTTGAATTCGCCCTTATCCACAAGGTTCGTTCAATTCCGGTCTTCTGATGTCGCACTTTATCTGATTCCCTGTAGGAGCGCCGCCCTACACGGATCACGGATCGCCAGAATGCCACCATGATGCTGGTCGGTGACGTCAAGGATCGGACCGCTATTCTGATTGATGACCTGGCGGACACCTCCAACACCATCACCAGAGCGGCGAAGCTTCTGAAGAGGGAAGGAGCTGCCCGAGTCTATGCGTTGGTGACGCACGGTATTCTGAGTGGCGATGCGATTGATCGCATCAATGCTAGCGCTTTGGACAAGGTTGTTGTCACCAACAGTGTGGACCAGGCGGACCACCTGCGCAGATGTCCCAAGCTGGAGGTTTTGGAGGTTGGCCACGTCTTTGCCGAGGTAATATCCCTTTCGAGGTGTTCAAGGTACAAGGAACTGATTTCGTTGTATAGGCCATCCGTCGCGTTCACCACGGCGAGAGTATCAGCGTTCTCTTCCAGTACGACTAACGGACATGCCGTCACGGGTTTCTTATTATGTTTTATCTATTCCATTTTCTTTCTTTTTTGTGTGTGACGTCCATACAAAGTAAATCATAAACTTGTTGGGAGAATATGAAGAGCGACGAAATCTTGGGTCATCTTCCACGGATTGCTTTTTTATCATTTTTCTTTGACATCGGCTGAAGTGCCCTTCTTGGTTTCTGAACGCTTAGGGGACTTCTTGCTATCGCATATCATCGCTGGCTGTGCATTTTTCTTTACCAAAAATATATCGAAACTCCAATTGCCAAAAGAAAGCGGACTAGAAATCATGTCATGCGTCTAGTCCCTGGCATAAGGTGTTGGTTACCCTCCCACATGGCCTTGCGTCTATGCCCACTATATTTCCCATTCTTGTCGACCTATCTGGTTATTTCTGTGTCTCTGGGGAGTTTCTTTGCTTTTTTGTTCGTTTTGACACCGTCATATGTCCGCCCCTGGTATGATGTTCAGGAAGCAGGTGGGTCCATATGCATGAACATATATCCAACAATCATCATGAGAACTTCGGCCATGTGTCTGAAGTAACGAGAATCTATCAGATCAATCCATTTCTTTTCACTCTTGCACCAGAGCAGGGAATCATTACGTTTGTTCTTTCGGAAATAATTGACCTTATCTACATGGTCTTTGTAGTTGGTCCGTTTCCAACGACTTGAAAAAGTGAGTCTCGGAAACATTACTGGCATGGTATCGGTGTATATCTTTTTGCGTATAAATACTTACCGCGCAGACATGCCACACGCTACATAATATCCTCAGAAAGTGTTGATCGTGCTACAAAGAAGTACGTGCCGCCCTTTAGAGCCAAGCCAAGATGCGCAGCGATGCAGCTCCACGAGACGAGAGGAATTCGACGATTGGAAGATACTCAATAGGACCGAGTCCGCCCGTTTGACTAGAGCTAGCAGCGGAGAGAAAGCAAAGACAGAAGAGGCGACGCCTCACTTCGAGCATAAGATACAAGGGATCAAAAGTTACTAACACACGAACCAATTGCGAAAGGAGCATGGAGTATATTTTGGGCGCGGGAGAGATGGACAAAAGGGAGAGAGAGATGAAAGGGATAGGGACCCAGAGGAGAGATCATATAGGGAGGCTTTAAACAAGACGGCTAAAAAAAGTAAAAGGAAGAAACATGGTATCTAGAAAACAGAGATAAAGTTCCCGATCCTCTCTTTCTGATTTTGCGCAATACACTCGGCGATCCAGGTGACGTTTCGAATTTCCTGATTCGGGATGATTAGCTGAATAAGTCCACGCAAGAATGGTGGGGTCAGTGTCTTACCTGCTCCTTCAATCTCATCCACCCATATACCACCGCAGGCGAGAACTGCCGCGTGAACACCACCTTGCACATCTCCATCTCCTTCTGGTAGAACAGATCCTCCAAGCTCTTCCCGTCCGAGGCGCCGCCCATGCCACCCAGGCCGCCGCCGCCCTGCGTCAGGCCGACCGTATCGAAGAACGCCTTGTAATCGGCGGAGATGCTCACGGCGAGGGCGACGGACTCGATGTCATCCGCCCGCGAGAGCATCAGCGACCCCTCCGGCCAGAGCTTGCCGAACTCCGGGTACAGCTTCCTCCGCTCCTGCTTCGACAGCTCCGTGCCGAACGAGTTGAGTGTGATATTGATCGCCCGCCGATCGGCCTCGAATTGCAGGATCTCCGACATGACCTCCTGGGTCGGAGTGCCCTTGAAGTCCGGGTGTGTGGTGACGAACTGGTGGAAGTCCTCCAGGTAGTTCTTGTAGAGGGTGTTGCGCACGATCTCGATGTTGAGCTCGTCCAGATCCTGGTGGCTCAGACTCCCCTTGAAGTACCCGGCCAGGGGCGTTTCGATCAAGACGGAGTTGTACAGCTCTTCGATGTTGGTGGCGACACAGAGGACGGGCAGGGTCTCGAACCAGCCTAGCGGATGGCACCGTTCCAGGAGCTCGCGGGTGTCTCGTTCGTGCAGGGTACCGGTAATGAGCAGGGCGATGTTGTCAATCATGTACCCGTAGG